ATTGAGGAGCCCAAAGAGCTTTTGTTTATGTAGTTACATAACCTATGGATCCTTACCATATTTAGACACTAAAACCAAGAAATTTAAAAAATATTATTTATTAATTATTTTATAAACAATAGTAATAAACTCAAAAAATGTATGTTAACATCAGAGCAATGACATCATCACATATCATGTAGCTTCTGGAAAACTACCATACTTTGGTAAGAGAATGAGAGTGAAAAAGGTAAATAACACCTTAATTATTATGAAAAAAAATCTGATCTCATAGATCTCCCTCCCCCCCAATGAGTAATGATAATTCAATTCAATTTTACTCAAGTAAGATAAGTCAGATTTGAAACAATTTTTTTTCTGATCAAAGATTTCTCTCATTGCAGTTTACCCAGAAAACATACACACTTGTGGAGGAGGATGTTGACAATGGAATCTGGATTGTACTTGGTTGTCAGAGAAAGGACAGAAAATGGTCCTTTAATCTGGATATGGACCTGCTGACTCCTGCCCGTCTTTTTCATAACACTTTCCTGCCCTTTCGGAAATGAAAACTGGCTGCTGGTTTAAGTTTTTCGTTCATCTCCTCAATCATATGATTTTGTTCAGCTGGGACATCTGAGTTAACTGATTGGAGAATTGAGAGCTTACCCAAGAGACTGAACAAGAACTCTCACTGAAGTCTTAGCACCTGAAGCTGACTTTTCCAGTAGGTGTTGAGGGTGGGAGGCATGGAGAGGTCTAACCCAGTGGTTCTCAAAGTGTGGTCCCTGGACCAGCATCAGTAGCATCACCTAGAACTTGTTAGAAATGTGAATTCTCGGGCCCACCCCAAACCTGCAGACTCAGAAACTCTGGAGATGGGCCCAGCTACACATGTTTTAACAAGGCCTTCGGGTGATTCTGATTTGCTAAATGTTTTGCTAACAGTTTGAGGACAACTGGTCTGACCTTTTCCATAGCTATATTCTGTCAGTATGATCTCCCTCCCCCTCCTCACTTTCTTCTTCTGTCTTTCCTTCCTTCCATAAACATTAAATGTATTGATTCCTTATCAGTGTTTTTATGACACTTATTTGTAAGTGTACACATTTGCACATCGTGTGTCTGTCTGTAAACATCAAATTTGTTCAGGCCAAATTCAGAGTATCATTTATAGCAATCCCAAAGAAACTGACTCTTAAAAAGGCCTATTAGACATGTATAGGTGAAACTTTCTGATGGGTATAATTCATTGCCTGGGACCTAGTTTATCCTTCTTTTCCCGACATTAACTCCAGTAAAATCCCTTCAAATACTGAAGCTCTACAATTCCAAGGGCTTGGTTGGCCTCATATGGCCCCTTGGTTGGCCCAAAGATTATTCTGCCATGGCCTCTGTTCTTTAGAAATCCAAAATTAAAGGCTCAGTGGAAGGGGGCTAGTTTAGAGGACTGAGCTCAGGACGAAAAGATTCATCATTACCCATCAGAGTTCTTAGAGAGCTTTCATTCAGAAACGTGACCAGAAGAATGGGCTAGTCAACCAGAGGCTGGGAAAGGATGTACGTGGATCACGGACAAGGTCCAGTTACACGGGGTAGGGAGTGTGTGTGTGTCTATTTACATTAGTGCTAGGGTTTTCCTTGGGCTTTCTAAACTGGGAAGTTGGGATGAAATGAACATGAAGCCGCTCTTCTTTATACTATATATGGTGTGGAGAGAGTTCCATGAGGTCAAGCTTTAATGAACACAAATACATGAAAGTAAGACTGAGAGTTCTGGTTGTTCCTCCCTGTTCCTCCAGTGACCTTGGAACTGCTGCTTAGATGCAGGTCGAGCTCACTCAGTGATTCTACAGAGCTGGCTTCATGATGGGGTCGCAGTGCCTGGTATTCAATGATGTGACTTCAGAGCTTTCCAAAACCCAGGGGGTCTCAGGAGGCGCCTCTTGGGTGAGTGTTGAGCTTCTTCGATTTTGCTAGCACTCTATGACTTCTGTGGGCTGTTCTTGGCTTCTTACTACTCTTGGTTTTCTAGATTGTTCTTCTACTCTTCCTCCTGTAGTGATATAATCAAGTTGTAGTCATAGGTGTAATACTGCACCAAGAAAAATGTGGTCCCCACCCTAAACCGATGTGGGTAGAGCATTCAACATGAGCCCCCACTGACCTGCTAACTTTAAATTCCACCCCAGGATACTGTTACCCTCCCACAGGCTGAAATCTGACCTCAAGGCCTCTCCATCCCTCCAGAGGCCAAGACTGATTGCCCTGTGGTTCTTACAGCATGATAATCCAATCATTGTGCAGTGAGTGGATCTGAGAAAGAGCCCGAGAGAGCCCTTCCATTTCCCCAGCAGCTCCAGGACTGGCTGGTTACAGGTGTGGAGGCTGAGTGGGTATCAGGGAATGGGTCCCATTGTCACACTCTAAAACCTGGAGTCATCTTTCTTCCTTAACCCTTACTTCCAATCAGCCACCAAATCCTGCTAAGGCCCTCCTTTATTATTTCTGGCTTCTTTTCCTCCTTTTTAACTTACACCCACTGACCTAGTTCACGATCTCATCATCTCCTGTGTGGATCTATTCCATCATAACGTAATCAAACTGCCACCACTATTAGCTCCTTAAGTCCAGCCTCTATTGTAGCCAGACCATTCAAAGGCCCAATGCTACGGTTTGCCCCATAATTAAAGATTCTGTGGCTCTCTGCTGCCCCCAGGATAGGGTGCAAGTCCCTCAGTCTGGCCTGATCTTCCGTGACTTGGTCACTGTCCATCCCCACAGCATCATTGTCACCACTGCCCCACGCACTTTATTCCCCCGTGTTCAGAACCGCTTGACTTTCCCCAAACATTATCACACTCCTTCACACTGCTTCACAGGGAGCTCTCCTGTGCTCCCTCTGCCCAGCAACCATCTCCTGTCTTTCTTTATCTGGCCTCAGGCATTTCAGGCACCATCAACTCAAAAAGCTTTCAGGCACCCCCATGTAAGGTCAAGTGTCCTTTCTCTTTGCTCTTATAATATCTCAATCTTAGACTTTAACAAATTATATTTAAAGTCTCTATTTTTTTCTCTTTTCCTCTAATAGTCTGTAAGCTCTTGAGAGCGGGACCACTTGTATTCATCTTTGGGGCCCTAGCATGTACCTGGCACATAGGTAATAGTTTTTTTTAATTTAGATATAATTGACATATAACATTGTGTAAGTCTAAGGTGTATAACATGTTGATTTGATACACTTATATATTGCAAAACGATTACCACCACAGTGTTAGCTAACACCTCCAACACGTCACATAATTACCACTTCTTTTTTGTGGTGAGAACATTTAAGATCTAGGCTCTTAGCAACTTTGAAGTATATAATACAGTATTGTCCACTATAATCACCACGCTGTGCCTTAGATCCCCAGAACTTATTCAACTTCCAACTGCAAGTTTGTACCCTTTGACCAACATCTACATAGGAGATATTGTATAAAATTTTTTTTTTGTGAGGAAGATCATCCCTGAGCTAACATCCATGCCAATCCTCCTCTTTTTTTGCTGAGGAAGACTGGCTCTGTGCTAACATCCGTGCCCATCTTCCTCCACCTTATATGGGACACTGCCGCAGCATGGCCTGACAAGTGGTGCATCAGTGCGGGCCTGGGATCCGAACCTGCGAACCCTTGGCCACCAAAGCAGAGCACACGCACTTAACTGCTATGCCACTGGGCCGGCCCCTCTATAAATTTTTTTGAGCTATATGGAGGACAACAGCTGCAGAAAAGGACTGATAATAGCAACTATCTGTGCTAAGTGATTTTCATGAATTGAAAACTCCCAGTTTCTAGCCAGCCCTGTACTATGAGAACTTTCTGTAATGGTGGAAATGTTTTGTATCTGTGTTGTCCAAGAAGGCAGCCATATATGGCTATTGAACACTTGAAATGTGGCTAGTGCAACGAATGAACGGAATTTTTAATTGTATTTAATTTATTTATGTTTAAACTTAAATATCCACATGTGGGTATTGGCTACCATATCAGACAGAACAGTCCTAGAATTTCCTCAGCCCTTACTTAGCCCACAGGAACATCTGGTTACTTCCTACCTTGCTCAGAGCTCCTATGAGGCAAGCCTCTGAGAAGTGGTGTGCTGGTAAAGGTTTAACAACCAGCTCTCTGAAAAACTTTCCCTATTTCCATGGTGTCAATCCTCCCACCCTGTCCAGTTTCAAGCTGCCAAAGTGACATCACTGAATAGACTTGGGAAGAGATGTGCAGTAGCAAACCATCATCTAGTATTTCCTCGATACAGATACTATAGATGTAAATAACCCTGAGAACAAAGAAAGCAAACAAATGTAACAAAATAATTAGAAAGTGATTAATTTTGAGTATTTCATAACTTTTCTTTTTAACATAATTTATCTAATTATAAGTTTATATACTTTAATTTTAATAATGGCTATGCTTAAAAACAGTTCACAAAATTCCTGAAATTTCAACTTTTGGCTCTCAGGAGCCTGTGTAAGTCAGCTCTAGCTCTTCACTGGCTCCTGGGAATTGCTCCAAAAAAAAAAAAAAAAAAACCTGTAGGATTTCTGTTTGGCCACAAGAGGGCATTATCAGATGAAATTAGATTCCAGGCAGGATTTTGAACTAGCCCTCTGGCAGAGGGGTGAGTTTTAGATAAATGTTTTCCGTCTCCTGGAAGATTGCAATTCTGGGAGCTCTTGTGGGAACTCATATAGTTTCAGGCCGTTCTTTGTTTCACAACATAAACTCCGAGCCTTTACCACTCCCAAATAGCTTTATCCCTTTGTGTGTAAAGACTGGGTCTTTAAGCTATGAGATGAAAAGATCCTTGAAGGTACTAAGTCTTGTCAGCATAGGAAGGAGAGGATCTAGCAAGTACTGAGTACCTGCAACATATGGGGCACTTTACAACCTTCATCTCTCGTCATCCTAAAATAACACGTTAGCAATCAGTTAATACTGTAGAGAAACTGGTAGACTGCTAGGAATATGAATAATTCCTAATATAATAACTCTAGAGGGCTTATCCTTTGCATTGCAATAATTTGTACTTTATAATAATTCACATGACGAAAATCAGGAGTATATTGTGAGCCTGATGACTGGTATAAAAACGGAAGGAATCGGATGATTTCTCTCTGGCTAGGCTAAGTATAGGATCTGAGAGCTTTGGTTTTGGGGGGTGAATCTGTGTCTTCTCAGGGTCTTACTGGGGAGTTTATACCCGGGTTGGCTAGACTGCAGTTGGGGGCGGGGGGATACCCTGGATGGTTGAGAGGGTGACATAGTAGGTCTCTGTTGTCCACTGCCCAAGGGAGGGAGAAACTGGCCTTTTGAGTGTGTGGATGAAATGGTTTCACTCTCTTGGTTTTTAATACTGTTAGACTAGTGCAGTGGTACTCAAAGTATGGTCCCTGGACCAGCAGCATCCGTATCACCTGGGAATTTGTTAGAAATGTAAATTCTCAGGCTCCACCCAGACCTGCCAAATCAGAAACTCTGGGGGTGGGCTGGGCCATCTGTTTTAACAAGCCCACCAGGAGATTCTGATGCCCACTCCAGTTTGAGAACACTGGCCCAGCGCAGAGTTGTCAAAACTGGATGCGTGTGTGTTAGATGCATCTGAGGAGCTTTAACAAGTACTAATGTCTCAGACACTAAAGGTCATATACTGTGTGATTCCATTTATACGAAGTGTCCAGAATAGGCAAATCCACAGAGCTGGAAAGTACACTTGTGGTTGCCGGGGAAGGGGGGAACGGGATATTGGGAGGTACAGGTTCTTTTTGGGGTGATGGAAGTGTTCTGGAATTAGATAGATATAGAGGTGGTGTATACATAACATTGCTAAAAAACCACTGAACTATGCATTTTAAAATGGTTACAATGATAAATTTTATCTCACTTGAAAAAAAAAAAAACAGTGATGGGCCTGATGTCTGGGGTCCAATCCCAGAGATTCTGGTTGGGGCCCAAGCACTGGTGTTTTTAAAAATCTCTCCTGGTTGTTCTAATCTGCAGCCAGGGTTGAGAATCTGAGTTAATGCAAATGAGGCCACACTAGGTCACATTCGTGGTCCAGGGGCCTCTGGGTGAGTGTCTACAGTAGATGGGGTGGGGAGCACAGGAGAGGAAAAGCTCAAGGTGGACGCTGCCCTGGTTTCCTCCTAGCCAGGTGATGGGGGCAGAAGGGTCTTGGGCTCTAGATTCAGGTTGCAGTTTTGGTCTCTGCTGTGCAATCTTGTTTGCATTGCTTAATCTGTCTAAGCTGTAGCCACTCCAAGTTTTCTGAGAAGATAGGTTGTGATAATGCTCATAAGATAAGTATCGAGCCTGGTATACAGTAGGCTCAACAAATGTTAGTTTCCTTTGCGTTCCCATTTCCCCGTGGGTTAATTCTTGTTGATCGACTCTTTGGGAATGGGTGCATTGGCCAATTCTCCCTCCTACTCTTAAACTGCTGGTGGTTAGTAGAATGGGATGGGCTGGCGCGAGGGGGTCTCTGCCCAGGGGCTTTTCCTACCCTGGGCTTCACCCTCTAGATTGAGCAAGGGCTTCCTTCTAATATGGCACTCACCATCTCCGCTGCCAGGTGAGCCCACTCAGAAGGAGGATACTGATCAGCAGGAGAACACAGCCGGCCACTGTCAACAGAGAAGCAGTTCAGCAAAGGCGTGCCCTGGGCTGGGTCACAGAGCAGGCTGAGGAAGTCCCCCCAGGAGCCAGAGTTTCCTGGAGAGGTGGGCGCCGCAGTTTCTGCTTTCCCTTCTCAGAATGCAGAATGCAGCGCCCTCCCAACAGGCCCAAGGACTAGCGCTAGGGCTGGGAAAGATGTGGAAGGAAAAGGGCTTGGCCCTCTCCTTAACGGGCTCCGCTCTTTCTGTGGGGAGCAAACTGACAGGCACTCTCTTCAGAAAGGCTCAGAGGCCAGGCCTCAGTTAAGGAGACTGTGAGCAAGGTTTGTGATGGCGAAAAGAAATGTTGAAATATAGAGACAAATTATAAACACATTAGCATCTCTTGAAAGTGTGCATATTTCCCAAATGATGCTTTCCTGTGGTACTGGAGTGACCTGTCTATCTATCTATCTATCTATCTATCATCTATCTATCTATCTATCTATCTATCTATCTATCTATCTATCTATCTATCATCTATCTCTCTATCATCTTTCTCTCTATCTCTATCTATGTATCTATCCATCAATCTATCTATATCTATCACCTATCTATCATCTATCTATCTATCTATCTATCTATCTATCTATCTATCTATCTCTCTCTCTCTCTCCATCTATCTATCTATCTATTGTAGATGTGCCTCAAAGCCCGTTTGTCTTCTGTTTTTCCAAGCTTTATTGAGATATCATTAACATATACATTGTGTAAGTTTAAAGTATACAAGGTGATGATTTGATACACTTGTATATTGCAATATTATCACCACCGTAGCTTTAGCTAACACCTCCATCACCTCACATAATTACCTTTTTTTTGTGTGTATGTGGTGAGAACATTTAAGATCTATTCTTTTAACCACTTTCAAGTATACAATACAGTGTTGTTACCTCTAGTCACCATGCTGTACATTAGATCCCCAGAACTTATTCATCTTCTAGCTGGAAGTTTATACCCTTTGACCAACATCACCCCATTTTCCCCACCCCCAGCCCCTGGCAACCACCATTCTACTCTCTGTTTCTATGAGCTCTTTTTTTTTTTTTTTTTTTTTCAACCCCTCAAAACCTGTTTTCCCTCCTACCAGGGAACAACTGTGGTGTTTCTGGAATGTTTTTTCTCTATATCCTTGGTTAGACTGCATCCCTCCTCTGTCTCCTCACCCCTCACCACAGGTCTGGGGTATTTTGTCCTTTAGGATCCATTCAGGAGGAGCTGGTTGCGGCTGGTTTGAGACTTCATTCGCAACCTACTATAACTGATTACTGTGATTTTGAGTCATGTTAATATCTGGATTAATCTTTTACTCTTATAAACATTATAAAGTGTAAGGAGGGGGTCATTTTAAACTAACTAACTAAACCACCAATCCCCCACCCCCAAGCAACGCATCCCACAGTCTCTGTCTGGTGTACGCTTTATCAATAAGAGAAGCGACCCCTACCCACCTGCCATCTGACACTCGGTTGTAAATATGAACGTCTCCATGGTTGTAGCCGCTTCTGTGTGTATTTGAAAATCTGTGCAAAAGAGAGAGGGGAAGATGCTCCGTTTATGCTAATTATCAGACTGCACGGGCTGGAGGGAGTTAGGGCTTCTCAGTGAGCTAGAACCTCGGACACTGATGGGAGGGATGTGAAAGACAAGGGGAGGCCATGGGCAAGCATTTCATCCTTCTGCGTCAAGATACTGCCTTCAGTCTTGTTTCTCCTCTTTCTGACAATTGCTTTTGATGTGTTTGAGGATTGGGGGGTCAGATGCAGATGTCTGATCATCTTTAAAACCGGGGACAGGGCCGGCCCCGTGGCTTAGCGGTTAAGTGCATGCGCTCCGCTGCTGGCAGCCCGGGTTCGGATCCCGGGCGCGCACCGCTTCTCCGGCTATGCTGGGGCCGCGTCCCACATACAGCAACTGGAAGGATGTGCAGCTATGACATACAACTACCTACTGGGGCTTTGGGGGGAAAAAATAAATAAATAAAATCTTTAAAACCGGGGACAACTCTGACCCATCTGCTGGAGGGGCTGCTCCCGGCAAGCTGTCTTTCCTTTCTTGCATTATGATTTAATGGCCAAGCCTTTACCTTCATAGGAACTAGCCGTACCTGTAGAACCTATGGTACCTGTGGTACCTGTCGTTGTTAAGGGACAGGAGGTTTCACTCCCGGGAGGAGCATCAGTGCTTGCTTGAGGCTCTTCGTCACCTGGAGGAGAGAGTAAGTAATGCTTGTGGAACTGAAGGTGGGTTGTGGAGGTCTCACAGCCACCCCCACCCGGCCTCCTCAGCTGACCCCAGACACACTAGCTGAGGTGTGAATCTCGGTTCTGGGCACGTTATCTGAGGATGCTACATGACGCAGCTCTAGATCAGGGTAACAGAGACGTGGGTAAGTGGCCCCAGCAGAGCCGGGTGAGAGGGAATTCTAACCCTGATCATGGCTTTCCATGGAACTCTGAGCAACTCTTTATCCCCAGGCTTCCTACTCAGCCCTGGGTTCCATCTGTGGCTTGGAAACAGATGGATAATACAAATAATAATAATACAAATACCATGGAACCATCAAACGAAGTAGAAATGCACAGAAGGATAGCTTTTCCCGGTGACAGGTTCCCCATTCCTGGTGGGTGTTGTCAGTTACCCAGGACACTGCCCCGCCTCCTCATCCTTTTACAAAGCAAGCCACGGACGGTCCCTGGCCAGCAGCATGGCTCATGGGAGGCAGGCTATGGGAAAGAGAGCATCTCCAAAGAACCCAAGAGGAAGACATGGGATATGGGAAATGGTGGTGAGCCAAGAAACCAGTAACACTTATGGTTAAATGTAAGTGACTTTGATTGTAGAAATAGTAATATGATTAATAGTATTAGCAGAAGACCTCAACAGAGGTGGGTTTTATGTATGCATGAAGGAGCGTGTGTGTGTGTGTGTGTGTGTGTGTGTGTGTGTCCCTTCCTTGCACATTTGCACTTTTATCAAAGCTCAGGTGGGAATTACACGAGGAGAAGGAGCATGCACAGTGTAGCACTGTGCAAATAATGGATTTACTTTATTATATATAAGTAAATTAGAAAGGCGTGGGTGGCAGGCTGGTAGCTTAGACAAAGAAGAGGAATTTCAGCCGGCCCCGTGGCTTAGAGGTTAAGTGTGCGCACTCTGCTACTGGCGGCCGGGGTTCAGATCCTGGGCGCGTACCGACGCACTGCTTCTCAGGCCATGCTGAGGCCGCGTCCCACATACAGCAACTAGAAGGACGTGCAACTATGACATATAACTATCTACTGGGGCTTTGGGGGAAAAGAAAAAAATAAATAAAATTATAAAAAAAAAAAAAGAAGAGGAATTTCAGGATCAGCTAGGAAAGGGATAGCATATCACCAGTGAGGTAGCATCTGGGGTGCATCTTTCCTCTTCTTCTGTCTCCTGCTATTTATCCCCACTCAAGGTACAGAGGACCTTAGGTGACAGAGACCTTAGAACTTATCTAGTCTATTTTCCAGAATGAGAAAAAACAGAGGCCCAAGGAGATTAAGTGGATTGCAAAGTCACACAGTTGGTGGGTGAAGAATTCCACCCTGCTCGGCCTGATGGAAAAAGCAAGGTGGGGGGGCCCGAGAAGGTGCCACCATACCTGCAAACTCACTGTCCTTCCTTTCACTTGTGCACTTGAGCTGGGGCTGTGTCCACTGTGTCTTCCCACAGATCGTTTTGCAGACGCTCTCAGCAGGACCTCTCCGTAGGGCCCTGAATCCCTGGGTGCACTGGTAGTGAACCGTTTGCCCCACCACGAAATGGTAAATTCTCTCTGGAGCTTCATGTTCCCAGGGTGGAGGCTCCCTGCAGTGATCTGGAGGAGGGAAAGGAAATTCTGCAGGCAAGCTGGGGAAGGCATTGTGAGCGAATCCACATTGCCTCTTCCTAGACACCTTGGTTCTTATTCTTTTGTTCTTTCATTAATTTGTTCATTCATTCATTCATTCTTTCATCCAACCAACACGTATTGAGAATACCTATGTGTCAGGAACTCTGCTAGGCACCTTGTGGGAAGGCACAAAGACCCGTCACTCTTGCAAAGAGCAGGCAGTCAACTGGGTAAGAGAGACGTATGAAAGCAGAATGCACTGAGTATTGTAGTTGAGGAACAGGCGCTTGCTGTGGGAACACAGAGGAAGGAGTAATTACTTCTGATGATGGTGAGGGTTCTGATAAGTGGACAGGAGTGGAAAGGCGGGCTTAGCTCAGGGATAAGGGCAGGCTCCAGCCAATTTGGGCCAATGAAATGTGAAGACCGCCTAGATCTCCACTGCTAAGTGAGGAAGCACATCCTTGGGTTGTGGCTGGTGGTCATCTTGGGACCATGGCAGAAGGACTGGTGACAAAGCCAAAGCCAGGAGGAGGGAGGGGCTAAGAGAATATCAGGGAAATGGAGTCTGATCTTTGATCAAGCCATGCCTGAAGCTTGCCCCATGTGAGCCCCATCAAGGCCTCTGAAAATGCCTCATGCCCAGTAACTTTCAACTCACCCAACTCAAACCCAAGCCTGACTGACCTTTAACCACAGAGATAATGTCCTGCTCTGATTTAATCTCAGGATTCCCCACCCCACCCCCTATCTGGACATATGGAACCACGTGTACCCCCAATCCCCAGACATATGAAGCTATACACATGCTCTGATCTTCCAGGCCTTCTATAACCTGAGTACCCAACATAACCTCTACAAGTACCCTACATAACCTCTCTGCACATGTGCCTAGCCAAGTGGTCCTCTCCCGAGTGATCTGCTCCAGTGTAGCACCTTGCAAATCATATGGAACTTGTATTTTAGTCTCGGAATAAAATTTCTTTTACAGCCAGTAAAATCCATAACTGTCTGAACCTGTTTGAATTGGATTTGCTTCTTTCAAATGAAAACATCCAAATTAAGACAATCTGTGAACTATCCCTTAGCTGGAACAAGCTGGTTACCTCTTGAGCAAAGACAACAAATGTTGACCTCTTGAGAAACCTTTCAATAACTGTGGAGGGTAATATGGGATAAGTAGAGAAAAACAAACAACTCCATGTGTTTTGCAACACCATTCCAGTACAAAGTTGGAGGGGTAAATGGATAAAAACATCATGTGGCCACAATGTCTCTGGATTCATCTGTTTTTTGTTTTTTAATAATAGAAGCTGCAAATAAATTCAAATTAGTTTAAAATAAGTAATCAGTAGAAAGATCCCTAGTCTAATTCAGGAGCCCTGAGGTCTTGTTCCTAAATTATGTGAGTTAAGCCAAGTCTCTTAACTTCCCCATGTCTCAGTTTCCTGGTAAATTGAAGTAATTCTCCTGCCTCTGACTCATTGAGTTGTGAGGTTCAAATGAGATTATATACAATATGATCAAGTTCTTTGTAACATTGTAAAATAGCATAGAACGCTGGGGTCTTGTAAGGTCAGCTGTTCCCCCAGAAGCTCAGGTGTTCCTAATGAGCTCTATTTCTTCCTGACGTTAGGACTTGACTTCAACATGATTTATTTTGGGAAGTTGCTTCAGCAATTGGGTACTCATGGCGCTCACTCACCCACAGCCCATTAGCTAGCAGGTGTTTGTCTACAGCTGCAGACCCACCTGTATGGCACGGCACATTTCACAACCCTGTCTGCAAGAAACGTCTTGCTTTGCTGGCAGTTCATTATCTTATACTTAAGGCAAAAACACAGAGCATTTCCTTGAGAACATGGACTGTCATCTACTCATGTTTGTGTCTTCTGTTGGCAGTGCCTGGCACAGTTAGTCCCAACACATGCTTTCTGAATTGAGTTGAATTGAATTGAATTGATCACAACATATGCTTTCTGAATTGAGTTGAATTGAATTGAATTGAATTGAATTGAGCTGAGCTGAATTCTATTCGACCAGCTCCCAAAGCAGGAGGAAGCCCAGAGCCCAGGTTGGCAGCTGTAATGGTGGCTTAAAATGCTGAGCAAACAGTCTGCAAATGCTACACAATAGCTCTTGCCCACATGACATCCTTAGAGGAGAGGATGGTGGACAGACTTTTTTCCTTTGGGGAAGACATCATATACCCACAAGAGAAGGATTGGCTCCCAGGAGTCAGCCAGATGACAGTTGTTCAGATTCGCCTCTTACCTAGAAGGTGAGCTGGGCCCATGGGCTGCGTTCGGCTTGGCATTTCTGTTGGTTTTCTTTCCTTCCGTTCTTCAGGTTTAGGAGTAACTGGTTTTCCTGTGTTCCCAGAAGCTAGAGAGTATGGATGGAATGAAACAAATAACTTCACAAATGCTTAAAATAGAAAACACTCTTCATGTATTCATTTACTCAAAAAGAGTGTCTTTCTAGTGCTCATGAGATGCCAGGAAATATCAGGGTGCTAGGATTACCAAGATGAGCCACACGAAAGTCCTGCCCTTGGGGTGCTCTCACTGGGGCCTGCTCACGCATAGCCCACCTTGGCCTGTCGGTACGCATGTGTGTAATGACAGTGGCTTATAACATGTTTCTGAAAGAACTGAAAGATTTTCTGGCGGAATTTTTTGTGTATGTGTGTCTCCCCAAAAGGGACTCCATTCTGGCCATCAACCCTGCCAACATTGTGCATGGGTGTGTGTAATGGTAACAAGGAGTGATCTGACTTAACCACCCACTAACTCCTCTGTTGCCCCAAAGCAGGTCATTTAAAAGGTAGAGAGATGCAATCTTAAAGGAATGACAAGAAAACCAACCCTACAACACTCTTCTCTATTGTGAGGAGTTTGGCAAAGGAGTTGAGTATGGGCGCTGCAATGGGGGTGGGGGAGGAGGGATCAGGATTCTAGCTTAGGGCTAGGGAGGGGATCTGCTGGGACTCAGACTCTGCAGTCCATCCATAGTGTGGGTGGGATAAAGTCACTGCGGCTCACCGATGCCATCTCCAGGGTTAAGAAATAACAAGACAAATGAACACACCACGATTCACCACACTCTAATATCACAAAGTGGATAGAAGTTCAATGGCAAAAATCATAGTATCAGATCAACTTAGGTTTAGAAAGCCATTTAGAAATGATCTTGGGGGTCATTCCCTCCAAATTCCACTCCAGGGAAGTGACCCACCTACAATATCCGAGCTAGTGGCTCTGCCATCTCTGCTTGCCCTCACCAGCAAAGATGAGGTTTGGGATGCTTAGTCCACCGGTGATTCTAGCACATCCTGCATTGAGGGCCACAAGGCCTCAAGCCATGTTTTGCAGTCCAGAAACAAAGAAATTTGAAGTGAACAACCTCCTCTGCCTCTCTGCTTCCTTCATGCTGTTGTAGACCCTCACCCACGCACCAGTCTGACCTGCCTGTGGCTTGTTATTCTCTTCGCTCCCCCAGCCCAGCAAGGGCTTTGCAGGACTGGGACAAGAGGCAGCAACCTTTCGGGGATGTGGGGTCTTGGGGAATATTCTTCATGCTCTGGAACACCAGTTCCTGACACTGGGCTGGGGAAGGCCCTGGAGGGACAATACTTTCTCCTTGACAATATATTTTCCCCTCAAGAAATCCCCGGAGCCGGCCTGGTAGTGTAGGGGTTAAGTTCTCTCACTCCACTTTGGTGGCCTGGGGTTCTCAGGTTTGGATCCTGGGCATGGA